TTTTTTAAACAGTGTATTTTAAATACAGGATAATATCCGACTGCACAGCTGCATGTTTAGGTCAAATTTCAGTCACACGATGCACGTGAGCTGGATAAACTGACTATGTGACTACTACTGTATATGACTAGGACACTCTTGATGATGAGAGGAAAAAAAATTGTTCCTGTGGCAAATGTGACCGGTAAGCAGTGAATCAGGTCTTGGGGGAAATGTTAATAATAGGCAGAGATGGCACAACAGAAGGCAGTTCCTCAAATCTGCCTTTGTTGGACCTCATTTGGTTCCTGATGGAAGTGCTAATTCCTTTCAGGGTTATTTAAATATAGATGCCGAGTTATTTAAAAACCTTAAAATCTGGCTTCTGCAAATGGGATGTTCCACTTGTAGTGTGGGAGTCATATTAGCATGATAAATATGAACCAAAAAAAACACATATTGGTGGAATTGAATGTGTTATATTATCATCACCTTCAATCCTTCAGTGACAGAAATGCATTTTATGGGTGACAATTTCCCTTAATTAGTGTTCTGTTAACATTAGGTTTATAAAGGAATGCTATTTTTTTGTTAAATTATTAACTGGAATATAAACTCATCTGTAAAATAAAGGCTTTTTAAATCATTTATCAAATATTCAGATTACAAAATATATTATTAAAATATAGACAAACATAATTGTAAATAATGCACATATCATATTGTAATTCATTAGAGGACATGGGAATATACAGTATGATTACATACTGTACCTATCTACTGTTTTTTGTCGCATCAATTTATTGCAATTTTCTTGAACAACAACAGAGTAATGAATGACAAAGGCATTTTTGTGCTCTCATTTTAAAAGTTACCCTTGCCAAATTACAAAATTGAAACCATTAGATGACTTACCTTACTAAATCAGTCATACAAGAGCCCACAACGACAACACTAAAGTCTTCAGCCATGACCTAATTTCATTAATAAAAAAAGAAAAAATAAATGAAAACATTTGACATACATTTATTAAACAAGATTACCAACAATTAAGAATACATTTCAGAAAGTAACAGTTCAGTTGTTAAATACTGGTATAGTTGTGCTCCACATTGAACATTTAAAGCTCTAATGTGCATGATTATTTCAGGACTGAATCGTGTGATGACAACAACCATGGAAATCCTTCATTAATTCAATCCCTTGCGTGTAGGCAATGCATGTGAATAGTAGTGTTAATCTGCTCAAATCTCCTAGCAGGCCTCAGGGGACTGTAAACGCCTGCCGCTGGCTATCAAGCAGCCTAGATTTTCCCAAAATAAGTCCAGTTTGCATTCTACTCATTCTTAGATTCAAATCAGCTGCTGTGGTTAGTATACTTTCAAGTGTTTTGGAGTTGAGGCATGACCCTTAATGGATATATATTTGTTTAAAAAAAAAAAAAAAAAAAAAAATATATATATATATATATATATATATATATATATATATATATATATATATATATTAGGGCTGTGCAATTAATCGAATTTGAGTCGCAATTTGAAGCGCTGCAATTAGTTAATATAAAATATATATGTATATATGTAAACAAGAATAACATCTGAGGTAAAGTGCTTTAAAACCAGTCCGCTATGTTTCAGAAAATTAAACATGCTAGACTTTCTGCGAGGCATATATACATACACACACACACACACACATATCTATTTTGTTCATAGAGGAATATTACATGCACTTTTATATGTAATGTTTATTAATTCATTTATAAACAGATTTTATGTCAATTATTTATTTTTTTTTTATTATTATTAGGAGAATCCATTTGAGTATAATAAGTACTTATTGGTGAAAAGTTTCAATTTAATAACAGTTTAAGTTTAAGTTTAAAAACAGTTTTGAAATCAAAGTTTTTATAAGTTTAAATCAAAGGAATTTACCACCTAATAATCTTAAATAATGTTGTAGGAATATAAAATAATAATTATATTATATATCTCTACAAAATATGATTAGTTAATTATAAAAGGTTGCAATATAAAATATATATATGTAGACAACAATAAAATCTGAGGTAAAGTGCTTCACGCCAGTCCGCTATGTTTCATATATTCTGCTATGTTATAAAGTATATATGTATACATGTAAACAAGAATAACGAATAACAAGTGCTTTAAAACCAGCCCACTATGCTTCATATATTCTGCTGTTATAAAGTATATATGTATACATGTAAACAAGAATAACGAATAACAAGTGCTTTAAAACCAGCCCACTATGCTTCATATATTCTGCTATGTTATATATATGTATACATGTAAACAAGAATAACGAATAACAAGTGCTTTAAAACCAGCCCACTATACTTCATATATTCTGCTATGTTATAAAGTATATGTATATATGTAAACAAGAATAACGAATAACAAGTGCTTTAAAACCAGCCCACTATGCTTCATAAAATTAAACATGCTGGACTTTCTGCTAGGGATCGCACACATGGTATTGGTTGTTGTGAACTATGCCACATTACACGATAAAAAACGATTGAATCTTGTCACAAAGTCCATTTGTCATTTACGACTCCCCACGACACGACACGACACGACACGACAATCAAGGAAATAATGCCGAAATTGCGTAATCTGACCGAGGCTTTATAACTAGCCAGTTGAGTGTGCACACTTTCGTTCTGCCCAATCAGAATTGCGCAACTGAACTACGCCCACAATAAAAAAGAAAACCAACAGGAAAAGCGATGACAAGTGGGATTATGGCGTCTGCTGCTTCAGAAGCATTAATAGATAAATTAATATCCAAGGAAAACTGCATTTGTAATATGGGAATATTTTGGTTTCAAAGTCACAGACACCGAACAAAAAACGGTCATTTATAAGAGCTGTCACAGAGTTGTTGCCACTTTCAACAGCTTACAGATTATTTAGCTGATGCTTGAGTTGAATTAAAATCAGCTTAAAGCTTGAATTAAATTGTGAATCAATAGGCATGAATAGGCAGAGTGATCTGTGTCGTTATAACGGCGTCCACAAGCATGGTCAGTAAAAAAGGTGCACAACCAACAGTATCTGAGGTTTTCACTAAAATTACTAAGTACTGAAAGTAAAGTATTGAAGCAGTGTACTGATGCTGTGACACATTACCAGGTAGATTCAAAAGACCGAAGAGTTGTTAGTTAATTAAATATCATGTATTTCAACTATAGTGAGACGCGATCCAACGGTACATCCTTGATAAACTGTCCGACGTGCACTGCTCTCTGGAGCTCAGACGAGTGCATGACAGCGTGTGTGGCTGTGGTCACATGATGCGCGTTTTCAGTTGACGGAGGGCTGCTCAGAAATGCTAGATAAAAAACAGCGTGGATGTGAATCATTTTCGGTCGAAAATGCCATTTTAACACTAAGATGTAATAGTGTAAACGGGGCCTGAGTATTTTTGCGAGCGAGTTTGCGATGAAAGCGGGGCAGAGGATTGGCGATGCCGGCTCAGCATCGTGTTGTCTATCAGCCATTGGCGATGGACGATAGGATCTTCTATCAGCTCAACTCATCAATAAACAGATTTTATGTCAATTATTTTATTTTTTTAATTATTATTAGGATAATCTATTTGAGTATAATTACTTGTTGGTGAAAAGTTTACATTTAAAAGCAGTTTAAGTTTAAAAACAGTTTTAAAATCAAAGTTGTTATAAGTTCAAATCAAAGAAAATGACCACCTTAAATTCTTTAATAATTTGTAGGGATATAAAATAATAATATAATAAATCTCTACAAAATATGATTAGTTAACGAATAACAGGTGAAGCCTGCTCTGTTTCATTAAATTAAACATGCAAGACTTTCTCCTAGGGATCGCAGACATGGTATTGGTTGTTGTGAACTATGCCACATTACACGAGAAATAATGATTGAATCTTGCCACGATGTCCATTTGTCATTTACGACTCGCCATGACACCCACTGATCAAGAAAATAATGCAGAAATTGGATGATCTGAAAGGGGCTTTATAACTAGCCAATTGAGTGAGCACACTTTCGTTCTGCCCAATCAGAATTGTGTAACTGAACTGCGCTTATGATAAATTACTGACAGGTGGGATTGTGGCATCTGCTGCTTGAGAAGCATTAACATATGAGTTAATATCCAAGGAAAACTGTGTTTGTAAAATGGAAATATTTTGGTTTTAAAGTCACAAAACAAAAACAGGTCATTTTTTTTAAGCTGTTGAATTGTTGCTAATAGTTAAACCTTGAATTAAATCGTAAATCAACTTGCATTCGCTGTCAAAAAAAAAAAAAATTGCAATTAGATATTTTCCCAAAATCGCACAGCCTATATATATATATATATGTATATATATATATGAAGCATACACTGTAATGGTAATACAATGCAATATGCCAGACTGCCAAATAAATATATTTATTTAGAATAATAAAGTATTCATATAAAGACAATACTAATAAATCAAATATTTGCAAACAAAAAATATAATATTTATTCACATTGTGCAGAATTGACCAAATATTTTGCTAAAGTGTTTGTTTATGCTGTTTTATCTGGTAAGTGATTGTGGTCAAAGTCTACTAATACTTGGACTGTTAGCAAAAATAGAAACGCAATGCTATAGTATCAGTCATTTCATTTGTGTGATTAAGCAGCCTTAAAAAGCATATTGTACGTTATAATCTTTAACACATTACCTATTTGTCCACTGAATAAAGCGATATATCTAAACTGCCAGTGCAGTACTCGGCACCCACGTCTAATATCTGTCAGTCTGCACAGAAACACATCAGAAGATCGCTAGAGCTGTCTCCATATACTCCTGTCTTTAAAAGAATAACTAGCTATAGTTTAAAAACGTGTGCAAGCATTTACATGCAGGACGTTCAACCAAGTGTAATAACTTGTTTTTCTAAACACATTAGACTAATTATTTATGTGGTCCTTCAATAACACCGTGGTAAAATGATAAGGCATATTTATAAACATCCATAAACAAACCTCAATAGAAGCTGCGGAAGTAAGGCATGGGTTCATACTCAAAATTGTTTCTATAATACACATAAAAGGTACAGAGAACACGTTTATTTAAATTTTATTGTATGTTTTTTTGTATCGAATCTATATCTCATAAAGAAACGGGGGGCTTAACAATACCCGTGGATAATGCTGGATTAGCATGTTAGCCAGTGTGTTAGCATCGATCTGCAGCTTCAAAACAAATTTTAATAACACAAAACAAAACACGATTAAGCATATCGGCGATAGCATTGATGTTCTCTGTGTCTGACAGTAGCCGCTTGAAAGTCTTAGTAATATTTAGAAACATTTACCACATTTAATAGAACTTTGTTATAATCAATTCAAAATCACAGCGAAGTCGTTTTTAATTATTTTTCTCTATAAACAATATTATTTATTTTATGCTGTGGAAATCAAAGAGATCTGTTTCTTTTTTCCCCCGTTTTTAAAATATGGTGATTGTGACATAAGTCGTCTAGACACTTAATAAGTATATAAGTGATTTGAAATATTGTTCAAAGTAAGATATTTTTTATATACAATTTATGTATATAAATTGTCCAAAGTTTGGATTATGCAAATGTGGTGAGAGAAACTGACATTATAAAATCACTATAAGTGACCCACTGGTATTTCAAATCAACAAGTTGAAAACAAATATTGTTTAGGGACAGTTTTCAAGACATATAATCTTTTATTTTTGTATGTATATCTTATACAGTTTTACACATATCTAGTTGTCTTCTAATCCAATGGCATTCATACATTTTAAAGTGTGACAAATCTTTAACCACACACAGTATTAATGTGCTTGGGTGAGTTCAACAGTCAGTTATTAATGCACAAAAAGGCAGCCATGGTTTAAAAGGTTTACAAACAAACATTTATATACAGCTCAGTTGTACAAACCACATTCCAGTTAAATAAATAATAAACCAACATTAAATATATAATAAAGCAGGCAAACACAAATGTGGATAGAAAATAACTAGACTTTAAAACCAAAATCCTATAACGAAAAGCCATATTACTATTTTGTTCAGTTACTTTTTAAAAAGTGATCATAGAGGAACATTACATGTACTGTTTATTAAGTTATTAATAAACATATTTTATGTCATAAATGTTTATTGTTGTTATCATTATTTGGAAAATCAATTTGATTTTGATTAGTACGTGTTGTTCAAAAGTTTGAATCTAACTTTTGAAAACACAATTTAGAAAGCTTAAATCAAACTAACAGAAAACTATCACCTTGCTATTTTAAATAGTGTTGTAGGCATATAAAAATTGTTTAATATGTCTCAAAAATATGAAATGCTGGAGTTTTTCCACAACTAGAAATATTGTTGTGGCTTTTTAATCTCTATTCTTCTTCAGTTACACAATGTACGGTACAATGTAAAAGCACTATACAAATAAAAAATAACTTGACCTGACTTGCCGCCAGGTGATATTAATTATATTTAAAAATTAATTTAATATACAGTTAAAAGTCAGAATTATTTGCCCCCTTTGAATTTTTTTTCTTTTTTAAATATTTCCCAAATGACGTTTAACAGAGCAAAGGAATTTTCACTGTATGTTTCATGTTTCAATATTTTCTCTTCTGGAAAAAGTCTTATTTGTTTCATTTCGGCTAGAATAAAAGCAGTTTTTAATTTTTAAAGAACCATTTTAAGGCCAAAATTATTAGCCCCTTTAAGCTTTATATTTTATATATTTTTTTAAATGATTTCTTAAAACTATTATGTTTAGAAATGTGTTCAAAAAAAGCTGTCCATTAAACAGACATTGAGGGAAAAATATAAGGAGCGGGGCTTAAAAATACAGAGGGGCAAACAATAATGACTTCAACTATCAAAATCTTTCTTCTAAAATTAGCATTTTTATCCAACTCTTGTCTGTAGGCTCGAAATTTTACTTTTATAGTAAAGAATAAGTTCTTTTCATTGCCTTTAAAGTGAAAAACGTGAACATAAACATATGAGGCAGAGAAAAATGCTCATTTTAACAACATGATAATGTTTCCCTCTGGACATTTTGGATGTAGAACACAGTACCAAATAAAGATCTAGGGACATCATGGAGTTCAACATTTTAAAGTTAAACTTGTCAGTCGTAAACACTTTGATTATTCAGGAATAGAAGCTTCAGCTCATTTTCAGTGTCCAAATTTAACAGAGTAACAGTTTTTTTTACATTGACTCAGTCATAATGTGATTGTGTCTCAGTCTACATGATTCACACTGTTTTTGGGAAGCCAAATAATTATAATATGGTAATAAAAAGAAGAAAAAAAGGAAGAAGAATACCTTAATTCATATAATCCTTATGATTAAGATTTATTCAACAGTCACTGTATGGCTGACAGATGTTTTTAAATGTTTGTGTTTTCCATTTTTTTATTACATGTATGTACATTTGATTTGTTATTGTATGTATTTATCTGCATGGCATATTTTTGTTCATCGTATTTGCTTATACTTGTTTTGTTTTCTGTATTTGCCTATATATGTTTCTATATTTTTGTACACAACTCAAAGAATTACTTTGTGTTAAAAATGTATTATTGTTATTATTGACAGAGCCTTGTTGGGAAGATGAATAGTCTCTCTCCAGAGTTGGCATTGAGCCGTATTTCTCCTGAGCTGCGGCCTTTACTCTGCTCTATAGTGAGGAATGGACGGGTTGGTTTGGATTCATCCAGCTGTCTCCGGATTACTGACCTCAAGAGTGGGTGAGTGTTCTGTGAACTCTACAAAAAATAGATAACTTTTGGAGAACAGCGTAATTGTAGGTTGTCTATGTTGATATGAGTAATTTCTTTAATATAACCTTAATCAGAATTCTAGAAAACTGAAGGGACTTTCCAGCAATGATCATTAAGGATCTTATTCTTGGCCACTGTATGCCTTTATCCCCCCCATTAAAACATAACTTAAGTCTGGTTTATTACAATTAATTTCAGTTTCTCTGGCCAAATGCCAGTTATAATTAATGCCATACCTGTGTGCAATCAAGAAATCACTTAAATACAACCTGCCTGACAATGTGAAGTAGACCAAAAGATCCTCAAAATCTTTGCATCATTTCGAGATCCAAAGAAATTCTACACCGCAAAATCCTCCAAGTAAAATTTACTCAGTTTAGATACCGTTGAAGTCTGAATTATTAGCCCTCCTTTTAATTTTTATTCTATTTTAAAATATTTCCCAAATGATGATTAACAGAGCAATGAAATTTTCAGTCTGTCTGATAATATTTTTTTCTTCTGGAGAAAGTCTTATTTGTTTTATTTCAGCTACAATAAAAACAGTTTTAAATTTTTTAAAAGCCAGATAAAGGTCAAAATTATTAGTCCCTTTAAGCTAAATATTTTTTTTATAATCTACAGAACAAACCATCGTTAACCAATAACTTGCCTAATAACCCTAACCTGCCTAGTTAACCTAATTAACCTAGTTAAACCTTTAAATGTCACTTTAAGCTGTATAGAAGTCTCTTAAAAAATATCTAGTAAAATAATATTTAATGTCATCATGCCAAAGATAAAACAAATCAGTTATTAGAAATTAGTTATTAAAACTATTATGTTTAGAAATATGTTGAAAAAAGTTCTCTGATAAACAGAAATTGGGTACTGTAGTATTGGGTACAACTGTAGTGTTTGGTCCCTCTCTAAATTGGATTAAACTTCCTAAAGTTAATGAGACGAAGGCTGTTTCTCAATTCCAAGAACGCAGAGAACGGACTTGTGTTCTTGTGGAGACCGGTCTTGCCAGGTGTCCTCGGAAGAACGAACTCAGGAGAGCGCGAGGGCAGAGAACGCGTCCTTTGAGAATTGAGATGCTGCGTTCTTCCTGATGGTCACATGACCTTCACGTGTTTTAAATGGTAAACATTACAGCCTTCATACACCGATTTATTGTTTTTCCCCTTTTCAAAATATATACTTTGCATAAAAACATTATAAATATATGTTGCACAATATAAATAAAACAGATTTTAATACGAATTTCAGCAAACAAACACCCTTAATGTGTTTATTCCTTTATTAAGATGTCCATGGTAATGTTTACTTTCACCGTTTCATTTAGGGAAACTACTGAGGTAAATATATCATATCTATGAACTTTAATAATAAATCTAGATAAAATGCAGCGATTCCCACCTTCAGTCGCAATGACTTCTGGGACTTCCAGAGCGAGTTCGGTGCTTAAGTCTGCATCAGTGCGTCCTCAATATTAAGAACACATCCGGGAAGTTTCACGTGTCCTCCATACTTGCGGTCTTGAGTATTGGAACTGAACTTAGGCAGCTGATGATGACGTTTCACGAGAACATGAGGACGCAAGATCACTGAAGAACGCATATTGAGAAACAGCCGAAGAAATGATTAATTAGGTGATAATTGAGAACTGATGATGAACATCTGCTGTTATTAAGCAGAAGCAGAAAAGAAACACAAAACTACAACTGACTTCAGTCACAGCCTGACATTTAATATATTGAATCTCTCAGCAGAGAATAAACTTGATCAATAAGCAACTCCACAAACAGCAGCTTTACTTATTACTAACCTGTTTGCCTTGTTATAAAGAGGGACCAATTACTCTCTGAACTGAGTATATTTTACTCAGAGGATTTTGCTGTGAAACAAATGAAAAAGAAAATAATTGAGATCTAACATGTCTGGAAAAGTTTATAAAGCCGTTTCTAAAACCTTGGGGCAGCAGTGTACCACAGTGACAGCTTGATGATCTCCAAGAGTTTTGGGAAAATACTCTGTGGATTGACTAGATTGTGTTGTAGGGATAGTTTATAGTTTAACCCAAAGAATGACCAGTCTGGTTGGTGAAGAAGAGCCGGAGTCAGAGATTTAAAAAAAAAAATAAATTAAGTTTACTGAAGATAGTTTGCAGTTTCATTCGCAGAAGCCAGCTTCAACACTCTCAATGAGTTCCTAGGCCGCTCTGCTTACAATCACCAATCAATAACAATTATACTCTCACATAACGTCATTAACTGCGTCATACATATAGGTGTTCTAACCTGATTGGTTAAAACACAGATAGACTAGGAACATTTCCATGTGAGGTTCGTGCGTACAATTCTGAACAATATCTAAACATAAACGTCAGACACCCTTTAGACTCATTAGAGCTGACTCCAGACCTGTGAAACGGATCAACAATCAAATAGAACACACACACTTAAAGTATAATCTGTTTCTTATCCAAGGCTGAGTGTACCGTCAGCCGTCTTTATCAAAACTGGTTAAAAACTGGTATAATCTACATTCAGGCAGTTATATTCTTACTACACAAAGTCTATCTTGAATAAAAAGTAGAATCACTTTAAAAGATTTAACCGTAAAACTATAACAAAATCACTTTTTTCGACAGTATTAACTCCTAGAAATAACAATAGAAACAGTTGTTTCCAGTCCTCAGTTCCACTCAAGATCTCCATGACCTCTGACCTAGTTTGCTGGCTCCTGAAAATAGGTATAAAGAGACAGGCAAATGCACTGAACATTCCTTTATTAAGCAATGTGTTAACTTATTCATTAATTAAAATCAATTCACAGTTAAATACTAAGAAACAGGATGATGAAAAGGATAAACGTTGGTCCATGATGAGATGAACTGGAAAGCAGAAATCCGAATCCTTCAGTGTAAAAGTTTAACTTTTTGGAAGGTGTGTGTCTCATTATGTGTGGCATAAAATAACATTGTATTTAAGAAAAAGAGCATCATACCAACAGTAAAATTTGGGGATGCATTGTGCTGGTCTGTGGATACTTGTGATAAAAGGAACCATGAATTCAGCTGTGTATTAAAATATCATGAAGGAAAATGTTCTGCCATCTTTTAGAGACCTCAAGCAGATTCAAACTTTTGTTCAGCAGCAAAACAATGGTCCAAAGCACACTAGTGTCACTGACTCGGTCCCGGTCATTCCCCTCGCTGGCCAGCAGAGGCCACCATCTCCGGACTTCTAGCATTACATCATCCATTTACGCTGATTGTGCATACACCTGATCTGAATCTAGCTAACGACCCACGTACCTCTTATAAGCCGCACTCAAACACTCAGTCAGTGCGAAGTCTTGTTCAGCCCCGGCCAGCATTACTGAGCGTTATATCCAGCCTGATCTCTTGTGTACGACTCCTGTTTCTGACTCTGCTTCGCCTTCTGCCTGCCCACGACCCTCGCCTGATATACGGACTCTGATTCTCGCTGCCTGCCCTCAACCCAAGCCTGTTTCACGGACTCTGAATCACGCCCCTTGCCTTCGACCCATGCCTGGTAACTCACTCTGTGTCTGTTCACCGTCATTCCTGAAACCATTACTACTACTGTGGATGTGTGTGCACCCAGGTGCATATTGTGTGTTTGAGTAAGATTGTGATCAATAAATACTGCATAATGGATCCCTCCGTGTCAGTCTCCTCGTTACAACTAGCAACTCCACTTCTGAATAGAATAGCTGAAACAAATTAAAATGAAGACTTTGGAGTGGCCTAGTCAAAGTTCTGACCTGAATCCAATTGAGATGCTATGGCGTGATTTTTAAAAGAGGGTTCATGTTTAAAAACTCTCCAATGTGGTTGAATTACAACAATTCTGATATTAGTGGGCCAAAATAAATGACTAAATAAAAAGCTGAAAATGTTTGATTGCCGTTGTTGCTGCTAGGGGTGGCCAAATTAGTTATTAGGTTTAGGGCCCAACACTTTTTCACACAGAGCTATATTGTTCTGCATTTAGTTTCCCCTTAATTACCCCCCCCCCCCCCTCAATTTCGAAACTGAATTATGTGTTTACTTGTGTTGTCCTTGACTAATAGTCACATTTTTATGTTCTGAAACATTAAAATGTGACAAACATACAAAAAATAAGAAATCAGTAAGGGCAAACTCTTTTTCATACTTCTGTATATGCATGTACAGAATTGTTAGCCTCCCTCTGAATTTTTTTCAGTATATATATATATAATATATATATTGTCAAGTATTTAAGTACATATTCAAAAGTCTGTGTACAAAACCCTGTAGGTGCGATAAGTCCTATCCAATGTGCCTCCAACCACATCGTCAACTACACAGTGAAGGTTATTGGATGCTATCTCACCAGCCAATGAGATTGTTCCTCAGCGTTTAAATACATCAGTGTTATATGAAATATCAATCAGCACAGCACCATGTTTTCAGTTACCCACCTCCACCCCAGCTCCACCTGTGTATAGATCTGCTATGGAAGGTTATGTCTGTTATCTTAGACATTATGCCAGTACCAAGTGTCAGTACCTGATCTGCACCAACAATCAAACCAGCAGCAGCATCAGCATAGCAGATCTACACTGCTAAGACCAAACACATCAACATTGCCTTATTGCCATCAACATTCATTACCATAAATCCCTCACAGGGTTGTCATGACAGAACTGCCTTAACATGCGTATGAACTTTAATGCCATCCCAATCTTAATCCGTAGGGCTTAATGTGGAGTCAGCCCACCCTTTGCGACTATAACAGCTCTTCTGGGAAGGCTTTCCATCAGGTTTAGGAAAGTGTTTATGGGAAATTTTGACCATTCTTCACATTTGTGAGGTCAGGAACTAATGTTGGATAAGAAGGCCTGACTCGCAGTCTCTGCTCTGATTCATTCCAAAGGTGTTCAATTGGGTTGAGGTACAGTAACACCTGAATTCAATGATTTGGATTTGTGTCCCATAACTTATGGCAATAATCTCTCACACACATTTTTTTGGCTTGTTTCATCAGGCATTGTGCTTTGTTAGAGCAGAGGGATCTGCCTTTGGCAATATATAATTAATATAATTATATAATAAAACAGATATACACTTACCGACCACTTTATTAGGTGTCTAACTGCCTGTTAATGCAAATTTCTAATCGGTCAATCACATGGTAGCATCTCAATGTATATTTAGGCATGTAGATATGGTCAAGATGATCTTCTGCAGTCCAAAACGAGCATCAGAATGGAGAAGAAGGTGATTTAAGTGACTTTGGATATGACATGGTTGTTGGTGATAGACGGGCTGGTCTGAGTATTTCAGAAACTGCTGATCTACTGGAATTTTCACACACAACCTACTCTAGGGTTTACAGAGAATGGTCCTAAAAAGAGAAAATATCCATTGAGGTGCAAATGCCTAGTCGATATCAGAGGAGAATGTCCAGATTGGTTCAAGCAGATACAAAGGCAACAGTAACACAAATAACCACTCGTTACAATCGAGGTAGACAGAAGAGAATCTCTGAACGCACAGCACGTCAAACCTTAAGGCAGATGGGCTACAGCAGCAGACCACACCGCATTGCAGCTCCTGTCAGCCTTAGAACAAGAACCATGCTACAATTGGCACAGTCTCATCAAAATTGAACATTAGAAGATTGGAAAAACGCTGCCTGGTCTGATGAGTTTCGATTTCTGCTGCGACATTTGGATGGTAGGGTCAGAATTTGGCATCCACAACATGAAAGCATGGATCCATACTGCTTTGTTTCAATGGTTCAGGCTTGTGGTGGTGGTGGTGGTGATGTATTAATGTGGGGGATATTTTCTTGACAGACTTTGGTCTCATTAGTACCAACTGAGCATCTTATCAGCACCACAGCCCACCTGAGTATTGTTGCTGACCATGTCCATCCCCTTATGACCACAGTGTACCCATCTTCTGATGGCTACTTCCAGCAGGATAACGCGCCGTGTCTTAAAGATGGAATCATCTCAAACTTGTTCACTGGACTCAAATGGCCTCCATAAACACAATTTTCAATCCAATAGGGCACCTTTGAGAAGTGGTGGAACAGGGGATTCAAATGATTGATGTGAAGTTGACAAATCTGCAGCAACTGTATGATGCTAACATTTCAATATGGAGAAAAAAAAATCTCTAAGGATTATTTATAGTACCTTGTTGAATTTATGCCTTGAAGGAGGTCCAACTTGGTATTAGTAAAGGTGCACCAGTGGCCAGTAGGTGTAGAGTAGAATAGAGAATAAACGTAAAAAAAATTCTTTTTCGTAGTTGATGGTTGAGCAATCAGTTTCCTCTGTATTGTAAAGTTTTTATTGTGTTTGCCCTGCAGCTGTTTCCTAAAGCGAAAATGTAACGCATGCATTCTTTACGAAACAATCATAATGATAATATTATTTGACAATAAGCATTTTAACATAAAACATATTGCTCTGAATGTGGCCATACTGTAGTCATGCTCAGAAATGATTAAAGATGACAGATAGCACTTAGTCAATGCTTATTTTGACTGGGTTAACGAGATTAACAAAGGCAGAAACATATTGTGTTGTTTTTTATTAAACAATGACTGATTGTGAAATGAATAGCCTTAGAGGACGTTTATTTTGTCACATTGAATTAGAAAAGTTATTTTATTTATAGAATTCAAATGTATTAAAAGTCAGACAATTCTATTCAGTTTGAATTCTTATACACACTATTTAAAGAAAATGTACATGCATCAATGTATTTGTGGATTATGATTAAAATGGATTTAATTTAAGGTTTGAGTTTCTATCTTACTGCACAGGACAAAGGTTTTGTAGATCAGAACATAATAGAATACACAAACACACACACACACACAAACACATGCGAACGCACACACAAAACATTTAAATACAGTCTTTCAGATGCTCAGACTAGTTCTCTGCACTCTAACAAGATTGTAAGGTTTAGAATCTAATTAATGCATATAAACAACTTTAACATTATTAAAAGTACATGATGACTGACTGATATCGAATGTTCAATTTCAAGCTATATGTTTATTTTATTTTCAATTCAAACTATCTGCTTCTGCTTTAATTATGACAATAAATGTTATATTAAATGGTATTCAAACTTATATTGGTAGCATTTAACACTAAATAAAGCACATAATCAGTACCTGAGGTTATGGATTCCATAGTAGTTTATGCTGTTGTTTATTGTTGCTGTTGTTGTACATGCATCACCTTCAAAGGGAGGATGGTCGAGGCAGAAGCAAACAGTAAAACACAGGTAATCCACAAGAGTATTCCAAAAAGCAAGCATAAGTTGGGGCAGGCGGCAAACAATCATTGATCCAAAGGCAGTGCAAAAATACAAAAACAAGGCAGACAAGGCAAAACACAGGAACACAGGGAAGCTGCTTGATAAAGTCCATAACATAAACCAGTACTCAGCACAATGTCTTTTTAAGTGCTGCTGATATGTTAGTGCAAATTGGCTGCAGGTGTTTTTCATCATGTAAATCAGGTGTGAGGTACATTTGGCTGTTATGAGGTGTAGAGTGTCCACTAGTATGTCTGGTGGGATATCTAGCTAGTGACCATGACGTGCACAATTATCAAGTTGACACTGATATTTTTGTTTTTCATTTTCTTTTAGCTGCACATCACTGATGCCCGGTCCTTGCTGTGACAGATTTAAACTTCATATTCCATATGCTGGAGAGACTCTCAAATGTAAGTAGCATTTCTTTATATAAACAAACTGCAGATTACACGAGTAGTTATGCTGGCATTATTATTGTTCTTATATAAATGACTATGTGACCCTGGTTTTTCATGTTGCACGGGTATATATTTTGGAAATTATTGACCTTTTTATGCCAAAAATCATGTTCCATGAATATATTTAGTGAATTTCCTTGTGTAAATTTATTAAAACTTAAATTACATTTTTTTTGAATCCTCAGATTTCAGATTTACAAATAGTTGTATCTCAACTAAATATTGTTCTATATACAGTTGAAGTCAGTATTATTATCCCTCCTGAGTTATAAGCCCTCCTGTTTATTTTTTCCCCTAATTTCTGTTTAACAGAGAAGATTTCTTCAACACATTTTTAAACATAATCGTTTCAATAACTCATTTTTAATAACTGATTTATTTTATCTTTGCCATGATGACAGAAAATAATATTTGACTAGATATTTTTCAAGACACTTCTATACAGCTTAAAGTGACATTTAAAGCATTAACTAGGTTAATTAGGTTAACTAGGCAGGTTAGGATAATTAGTCAAGTTATTGTATAATGATGGTTTGGTCTGTAGACTATCAAAAATATGGCTTAAAGGGGCTGATAATTTGACCTTAAAATGGTTTATAAAAATTAAAAACTGCTTTTATTCTAGCTGAAATAAAACAAATAAGACTTTCTCCAGAAAAAAAAAAAAAAATCAGATATACTGTGAATTTTTTTTTGCTCTGTTAAACATCAATTTGGAAATAATTAAAAAATCAAAAAAAAAAAAAAAATCAAAGCAAATTTTATTAAATCTTTGTGCCTAAATACTTTAATCTCAACATTGCATATTTATGCGATATGACTATTGCGGATGCATACATTATGATATCTATGCTGAAACAATATTTTGTGCATCCTTACAGGACAGATTTGTCATGTTACAGTACATTCGGAGGTGTAATATATTATTAATGCACACTACATTTGCCACTTAAAATCTTAAATCTTACACAAATCGTACAAATTGTCTGAAAGCAAAATGATTGGGTTTATCTTTAATCTTTGCCAAATGATGTTTAATAGAGCAAGGAAATTTTTACATTATGTCTCATAATATTTTTTTTCTTCTGGAGAAGTCTTATTTGTTTTATTTCCGCTAAAATAAAAGCAGTTTAAAATGTTTAAAAACCATTTTAAGGTCAAAATTATTAGCCTTTTTAAGCTATAGAACAAACCATCATTATACAATGACCTGCCTAGTTATCTTAACCTGCCTAGTTAACCTAATTAACCTAGTTAAGCCTTTAAATGTCGCTTTATGCTGATTACAAGTGTTTTGAAAACTATTTTGTAAAATAATATTCACTGTCATCATGGAGGAAAATAAAATATATCAGTTGTAAGAAATTAGTTATTAAAACTATTATGTTTAGAAATGTGTTGAAAAAAATCTTCTCTCTACTAAACAGAAATTGGGGGAAAAAATAAACAGGGGGCTAAGTATTCAGGTAAACTTCACAAACACAATGTCAGATTTTTCCAACATCGTGCCTGTTAATATACTCCCACTAACAGAAACTCTATAAAGCATTGATGTTTGTGAAATACTGTAGAATAGGACAGCACAATTCATCAAAATAAAACCAAAATATCGGCACAATAGCCTTGTCGTTACCGTGCTAACATATGGTACAGAAGCACACCAGGGCGTCCCGAGTTCGTTCTTGAACCTACCCCCCTCACTCTTTCCCACTTTGCTTCCTGTCTCAATACTGTCCTATCTAATAAAGGCTAAAATGCCCCCCCAAAAAAAAAAAAAAAATAAAACCAAAATCAAGATTTGGCATAGCAAGATGATCAAATTGTAAAGTAAATTGTTGTGAAACACATGAACCTTGTTTCAAATTTAACGCCACTCCATCTCTGCGGGCACGGTGTGTTGTTTATTAAACAGTTTTCCAAGAAAAGTAAGCTTTTAATAACTTACATAATTAGGTTTTCATTTCAAATTCTCTTAAATCAGTCAAGTGTTTGAAATAATTTCCTCTTATCGTTCGATGATGAAGAAAATCTATCCTCCCCCATCCCCCAGTGCTTATATAATTGACTTTTCCCCAAATCCTGCATCTTACTGTAGATGACAAAGCATCATGGTAGCTTTTGTTTGGCTTCTGTTCGGAGAGCCTCTGTGTGTGTGTAATTTCTGACATGTTCTTATCAAATTCAGCTCTGGGATGTATCAAGAGAGTGCTATGAAGTGATTGACTAAACCTCATTAAAGCGGAGGTGACAAACACTAATGATATTTTGTGTTTAATGAGCACTGTGCATTTGTAATCTATTGAGTTTGTGAGAGTTATTGTTTAACATTGTGTTGCTCATTTTTGCAAAGGAAACTGTCACTAATATTTATACTTTTAAAGTGTTAGTTCACCCAAAAAGATAGTTTGCTTATTAATTACTCATTCTTAGGGCTGCTCAATTAATCGAAAATCCGATTATGGCTTCTAACGATTATGAAAAACCATTAATCGAGATAAACGATTATTCCATTATTTACCGCCCCCTGTCTAGTTGTCCTCACTTGTTGCTCTTAAAAGCGCGAAAGACCTCATCCTTATGTGTGTGCGGTGCGCAGACAGTCAGAAGCATGCGGTCTGCACTTGGTCTCGTTCGCACATTGTGACAGCAGAGAGCACACACATCTAAAGTCATTAACGTGAGCGCTTTAATGTCCAAATAGGTGTCAAAACACGGTGTTTAGTGATTATTCCTATTAACCCTCATTTTGTAATAAACAAACGAGTTGAGAATCAAAAGACACGTGAAAGCAAAACCATTAAAGCGACAGAGCACAGCTGCCGCCTGTTTTATCATGATTAATAAAACAATGAGAAAATCCCTCTTTGCTCTTAAATGAAGACTTTTGTAGCTAAAGTGTTTTTCTTACGGTGAAGATGCTAAAAGCACAGTTTGTTTAATATTTTTATTATATTGTATTTATTTCTCTTTCCTTTGCAGGGAGGAAAATAATATATGTAGTTAAAACCAGAATTATTAGCCCTCCTGAATATTAGCAACCTTTTTCCCCCAATTTCTGTTTAATGGAAAGAAGATTTTTGAACATAATAGTTTTAATCATTCATTTCTAATAGCCGATTAATTTTATCTTTGCTATGATGACAGCTCAGAATATTTTAGTAGATATTTTTTTAAATACAAACATTCAAATTCAAAGTGTGATTCAAAAGCTTAATTAGGGTAATTAGGCAAGTCATTTTATAACAGTAGTTACTTCTGCAGACAATCAAAAATATAAATTGTCATATAAAAAAAATAATAATATTTTAATAAAGACCACATGCCTTCAGTGGTTTGATTGGAAAATGATAAAGCTACAGAAAAGTTTTTTGCACACAAAACTAAATTAAAGACTTCTCCTCAGTGTCATTGAAGGGTTTGTTTTATTTATTTATCCTTTATTTTACCAGGATTTCCCCATTAAGATATGCATCTCTTCTACCAGGGGTTCTGGCTTAAATGGCAGCATAAAAAGTTTTAAATAAAAAAATACACATACATAAAGTATCGTGCACTCTTAGAAATAAAGGTACATGAGCTGGGGTGGTACCTATTTAAAAGCTACACAATTGTACCTAAAGGGTCTTTATTATTACCTTAATGCTACGTAGTTCCTAGAAAGTACAATAGTGTACCACTAAAAAAATTTTAGGTAATATAAGCTTCTTATGTACCAATATGGACTCTTTAAGTACAAATGTGTATCGTTTGAAAAGGAACCACTAAGCTTGGGTATGATAACCTTGGATAAAAATATCATGGTTTCACGATATTGTAATTACTGCTCTAAAATATTTTCTCTTTAAATGTCCAGGTAAAAAAAACTAAAACTTTTTTTCCTCTTTGAGAACAATATATTTAATTTTTTGAAAGATTTATACTATTTTGAAGCAGTAAACATGTCAGGCTGAATAATTCTAATGAATCATTTACTTCTGCTGTCTTCATTATCTTCAAAAACACTGATTTCTTTACAACTTAAAACAGCATCTTTGGATATTTTTTTCTGCTAGATACTGTTGTCCTAAAAAAACAAACAAAAAAAGTAAATAAAAAATCATACTCTTATTTTAGGAACGGTATTACAGAAAATGTTGGCGGTTTTAAACTTTTCCAAACCGCGGTATACCTTGAAAACGGTTATCGTCTCATGTACCACCCCAGTGACACGCTTATTTCTGAGCGTGTGAAGTAAAAATTGCACGAAACATTCACAGTATTTTTTTTAGGTAAGACTTTAAATAATTTAAAAAGATATTTAGGGATGAAATTGTTTCTAACACAATAACAACATTTAGCTTATCATTCCATAATGTAGGGCCTAAGAAGGAAAACGCAGTTTTACCAAACTCAAGACACACTCTACACTCTCAGAAGAAATGCTACAATGTTGTACCAAAGAAGGTACAAACCCTTGTCACTGGGGCCAAACCTGTTCATGGGACAGAATTGTTCCACAAATTTGTACCATTGCAGTTTGTATCTTTAAGGACATGATTTGTACCATGGGAAACCAATATATAACTTTGTTTTTTTTTTTTAAAACCTGCAGATACAACATTGTATCTTCGTCAAAGGTACAAATCTGATCCATGAAAGTATCACTACAGTGACAAGACACTTTGTACCTTAACAGTGTCAAATGTGTTCCTTCAGGAACTTTTAAAAGGTGTTATGCTTTATCCAAAATGTGTCATTATTTTCAGTAAGCATATTAGTAAGCAGTTTTAAAAAAAAAGTTTTTGTGTGTGTGTGTCTGTGTGTGTGTGTGTGTGTATGTAAATGCACCTTTTCCATTTACAATAAATAATAAACAATACTTTAACATAAATCAAAAGATCTATTACTTGCTAAACATTTCACAACACTCTTCATGAAAATGTTTCAGAAACACATTCTCCCATGTGCAATAT